TTAGTGTCATCTCAACATCGGCATTCAACACCATCACAACAACAATGTTTCAAAATCATCTCAAGATTGAAGTCTGGCCCTGCCTTGACATTAATGCTCGACGCCAATAATTTTTATACCCATAATCACGCCCCTCGTCATCTCATCTTTATCCAATGTTGTCTCAACATCGACGGTAAACACCATATCGATATCGATGACAGACTTCATTTCGACGTTGATACCCAATGTCCATTGCACAACATCAATGTCTGACTCTCGACAATATTATCGTCTCCCTTGTCAATGCCTGACACATGATATCTATGCTCATTCTCGACATCTTAGTATTAATTATTTTAAGCATAAATCATAATTAAATACTTATTATTTCTCAATTAGTCTTAAGCATTCTGCTTATTCAATTTCTATGCATTATTTTTAAAATATAAAAATTATAATGTTGTATCCAACCTATATTCATGTCCTATATTTTCAATAATTGACATGTCTCATATCCGTGTCATGTCATGACAGTGCCGTTGTATTCATAGTTGTGCATAATATGAGAATGACCATGCAAGTGCTTGATGGATTCCGTGCATTCCCAGGCCGATCAACTTATATATTTTTCTACAATAAATAAATTAATATTTTATTTATTTTCTTATAATTATTTTCATTTTTCTTTGACAGATTTTGTTTGCATTTTTTAATTCAATTATTTAGTTATTTTCAAAAAAATTATATTGATGATTTATACCATATTTATGAATTATTTTTTAATTTTATGAATTTTTTGTTTGGTTCGAGGCTTACTAAATACATCTCAAGGCATACGCCTCACTAAGAGAAAATGCCTTAGTTTAGAATTTCTTCTTTTTAAACCTTGTTTTATCCATCTCTTTTCAAAATTAAAATTTCAAATTGTAATCTAACTTGAAGAAAAGAATAATCTCTAATTATGTTTGTAATTTCATCACTAATAATTAAGTTAATAGTAATTTCTCTATCACCATTCGATTGAAAAATGTTATCTTTCAATTTTTTCCCATGTTTACCACAAAAAATGATCACCTTCGCTCTCTCACATATTTCACCTATTCTCAGTGCTGGCTTTATGCCCGCATCTTCTAATCTATCTCTTTCACGAACATCCATACACAAATATGTAGGTTCTTCTCCCTTTGTGAAGTTGTCTTCACCTTTTTGATCCAGCAAACTTCACTCTAACTAACTCTATCATGTGATAACCTATATATAATTTTCAATCCTCCTCCAATAATTTCATCTCACAAATGTAGGGATTATAACTTTGAAGAACCGTGTCATTGATCTTTAATCCAATAGTTTGAAGGATCATTGATTTTCAATCTGATTAGTTTTGATTGTCATTCCTTTTTTATCTGATTAATTTGGAGGCCATGTTGTTGATCTTCTATCCAATCAAAATTTTGAAGACTTTAGCATCTTTTATCTTCTATTTGGCTTGAGTTTGAAGACCTTCATGTAATTCTTTGATCTTGACTGAAGTTGCATCTCCTTTCTAGTTCAAGGAGATGAATGCTTGCCATTGGCAGTTATATTTGCCTACAATCTAGCAATAACCTCATTTTCATTAGGTAGCAATAGACATAGCTATCATACAAGTTCAACATTGTTGAGATACCATCGACCTTTAACTAGAGGTGTGGAGGGTGTTATCATTAATGTTTAAAACACTAGTGGTGATGGAAATACATTGATTGAATGCTTTTGCCAGGACTTACGTTGAATAATTTAAATGAAATATAAATAAATAAAAAATTTGAAGATTGATTGATTTTTGATCCAATTAATTTAAATAGCATGTTTTTGGCCTTCAATTAGTTTGGAATTTTGAACTCCACCCCTCTACCGTTGAGCTTTTGTCCAACATGAGGCCTCTTTTACCTTTGTTCAAATTTTATCTAGATAAAGGGAGTGATTGCACCCCCTATGACTATGCATGATCAAAATACTAACTCTTTGAAAAAGCCTAAAAATATTGGTGAATAATTGAGTAATCAATCTTTGGTTAAACTAAATTAAAGACCTTATGTTTGGTTTTGAAAATCACCCTTTTATCATTAATATTTGGTTTGACATGAGGTCTCTCCCTTCATTAATTTTTTATTAGGATAAAGTGAGTGATTGCTTTTTTGCCAATGAATATGCATGAGCACAATTGCTTAGTATATTGTTAGGCGGGCCCCTCCGGTCCTTACTTACTCTAGGCGGGCCCCACATGGAGTTAATTCAATGGTTGGAGGGAAAATTTGAATGGAAAGGGGGGGAAATTTGAATAGAAGGGCTGTTTAGGGATTTTGTATGGGGATGAGAGTTAAAGAGGGGGAAAGGGGGGAATTAGGTCCTCATCTTGAATTTGAATGAAAAGTTTGAGATCTCATTGTGTGCTTGGGCTCTAGGGTTTGCTAGAGACTTGTGGAGAGTTGTTCTTCCTCTCGAATCGAAGGACGTTGTATCTTTCTTTGTTTTCTTGCATCTACTAGTGGAAACCTTGTTTCTTTTCCTTATTTTTCTCTGTTTGGGTGCATTTCCTGCTGTGGAGCTGCTGTAAAACTGCTGGGACAGCAGTTTTGCTCACTGTTTTGAGCTGATTTTGACTAGGGTTGCTTGCGAACTCAAGTATTACCTTAGGGTTACTTACGAACTCAAGTATTTCCTATCATATATCTATGCTCGTTGACCCCTCATCATAAGGGGGGGGGGGGATCAGATGCGACCATTATTCTCATAATCACCAACACAAAAAATAAAAATAAATAAAAAGAAAAAGACACAATATATAATAGTACTAAACTCTTGCTAAAGTTCAAAAGAATGCGTGTGAATAATTGAAGAATTGTTGATCTTGGCTAGACTAAATTGAAGACTTATCATCGATATTTGATTTAATCAAGCTTTGAAGAGCATCTCTCTGCTATTGATTTTTTTTTAAGCATGTGATCCCTTGTTCACTCTGTTGATCTTTGATCTAGATACGCTGCTCAATTTCTTTCTTATTTAACAAGTGTGTTATGCTGAAATTCATCGATTGCTTTAAGACTATCATTGCAAGCTAACTCAATCATTGAGTGGCTTTAATGTCGCCAGCATTCCTATGGCATCATTATGATTTCCGAAGACATGCTAAGCTTTGTTAATGTTTCTAGAGTGCATTGGACGAGAAGAAAATAAAGACAAACTACTAACACCTCTTCGACCCACAAAACTGTTGTATAGTAATTATAATAATAATCTGAACAAAAACTTAAAATCAAACTTGCATCTAAAATTGGGGAAAAAAGAAGATGAAATTGTACATGTTACATGTCTATAATTATGCTGAATGTAATAAATGCTCAGTTAATACTCACAAATGTGCAACAATTGGTTGATCAATATTTGTCTTAACAAGAATGCCCTTTGAAGTTGAATAATTCTTGAAATATAAATATCAAAAAAATAATTCTTGTAAGTCACTACAACCAGTTTTACCATACATGCCATCCTATTTATAGTACACGAATTATAAAGTTATATAAAATAATTGTCAACTTTAAATTGACTCAGCCAAGCATTTCATAAAACATTTTTACGCTTGAAATTTGAAAAGTGAGCTAATAACTTGAGGCATTCCTACAAATGTTCTAGATGTTTATAAACATGACATAATAAACTTGAGTCTTATTAATGCATTAATGTCTATGCTAAATGCATCAATATGTGCAAAGCATAGTAATTCCCATTAAACTTTGATTCAAACGCATATAATGTTGACCTGCTTGATCAAGCGGATAAACCAAGGACCCAAGTCTAACCTTATTAATTTCCAATTGATCTAAAGATATTGATGAGTCACTATGAATTAGGTCCTCTTGTCCAAAGCATGGGATTGTAAGACTCACTCTTATAGGCCATTCCACATTCATAGAAATAGGACTCACGCAAAATTCATTTAAACCTAATGTCATATGTGTCGGTCTATTAGGTCTTTATGATAGCCAAAATTTTTAGTCCTAACACACCCATCAGAGTTTATGATAAAATATCAAAATAATTTCTCTACTTAAGTTAGTTGACGATGTAAGCCCTGTCCCAATTTTTCAGGCTATCACACAGCTAGTAAGTCCATCAAGCCAAACCAATTAATCAAACCGACAGAAAGTTTTCTCGCCAAATCAAATAAACCTAATTGATTGGTCGCACCACATTATTTCTAAGAAACTCCCTACTACTAGTAGAATTCAGAGTTTCGATTCATTCATTAATTGTTTCATAAGTTCTACACTTAATTACTGATCCTTCTCATCTTGGATTGGGATTAACAGCAGCAGTTCGAGGAACAAATTTGTTAAAGAAACTCTAAATTAGGATTTACTGAACTCCTTAATCTTCATAGCATTTTACTAAATCTCTCTTTCAATCCAATCCAAACTTAGAATTCAAATCAACCATTTGAATTATATACCATTCATACCATGATATTTAATAAATAATAAAAATTTGATGTTTCCTATAAAATAAAATTCGGGATATATCTGCTTATCAATTATATACTTTTGTCATGATTCAATTAAAACTGTTAATTATTGTACCTTGATATGTGTATGAACATAAGTCCGTATAGCTAATTAGATCTTTCTAGGCTTTTCCTACATGTCTAATTAGTATTTTTAACCTTAAAAGTGGGTTCTTAATTTTATGAAGCGCTTCATGAAGAAAAAAAGGATCCGTTTAATGTTTTGGTTTCGTGTTGTTCTTTGGAAATGCTAGTTACGTATTATTGGTACCTTGTAGGCACTATAATTGGTTCTTTTCTATTCACATGATACTTAAGACATGGTATACTGTTTATTTTTGTGTATTTGATCTCTATAGAATGTTTTACCATGGGATAATATTGTTGTAGTAGCATTTAATTCAAGTTTTCTTGTGCTGTTTTACTTGGCCTTTAATGTTATTGTTTGACAATATAATCTTGTTTTTTTCTTCTAAAGGAATTTCTGTGCTTGGTGATGTCACACCCAAAGAGGAGTCTCCCTTCTCTCCCTCAAGGATCAAGTGAGCTATATACTGACTGCATCTTGTCCTTTTGTTTAACTAAAAGGCATTTTACCCCATTTCCTTGATTTATGTTTCTTAGGGTTGAAGATTTAAGTGAAGTCCATGCTGGACGGTCGCCATCTGGTTTAACAGTTGGTATGCCATCTTTAAATTACTTTAATAATTTAAATAATAACATCGGCTTAGAAGCTCTTGTTCAAATTCCATAGTTGTATTTGATATAACTGAACAAGTATTTTACTTACAGGCGCCTCTAAAAAGGTTTCAAATGTGGGACAACTTAAAGAAGTTTCTGATGTAACTAAGGTCGAAAGCTTAATAACAGCTGAAGGTACGTAAGTTCCAATAGTTTCATTTCTATTCTTCAGCAATATAAAGTTAATATCCAATGCTTATGCCCTTCTATTTGTTTATGAGTAATTCTATCCATTAAAGAGATGAATTTTCCACAATGACTTGTAGTAACTCTTTATAATACATTCTTTTGATATGGATAAAGTTCATTGTTTGATTATGCTTAAGATTTCAATGCCAGATCAAAGAATTCAGTCTCTCTTACAGGATGGCCATGCATTATAGTGTAAAGTTGCATGAAGTCGTTACTGATTGTTCTCTTGTAGTTTTGCCATGAAAATCCATAACTCGGTATTCATAGTGAGCTGCAGCTTACTGCTGATGGATGTGTTAAGGGTGAGATGGTTTTTGTTGATTTTTCATGGAAGCAAATTTGTTATATACCTGACATTTAGTAATGCTTTGCTGAGTGATTTGGCGAATATAATAGCTGGCTTAGTATCCCTAATCTCAGGCTTCATTTGGGACGGCTTTCTTCCTGCTCCTTAAAACAGCTTTTTAGTAAAAAAATTTTAATTTTTTACTAAAAAGCTGCTTTAAGAAGCAGTAAGAAAGTCATCCCAAACGAAGCCTTAATTTATAATCAGTCGTTCTTCCTCATCTAAATTCACAGTTATTCTCATCACCTGCCATTTCTATTTACCTGATTACGATTTATAACTTTTTTGTTTTGGTCACTGATCTGCTGCAGTGAGAAATAAATTGAGTTTAATTGATTCTGAGGTAGGTGAATGGAGACAAAACTAATTGGCAGAGTGGTGGATCTCCACAATATTTCAAGCAGTAATCTGCTTTAATTAAACTTGTATTCATTTTATCTAAATAATCTAATGCAATTTATCACGCTTTATCTGGATATAAAAGATCTCCAGTATGTTGGCAATCTTAATTCCTTTTGATTGATCTTTTTGATAAAGAACCTTAATATTTTGTCTCCATTTTGAAGTTCAGTTACTAAAATGAATGAAATATTGTAACTTTCAGATCATGTTGATAGGAGTGTTGGTGTTAAAAAGCCCAAGTATTCAGGAGATGAAGCGCCCTCTTTGACCGAGTTAAGTGGATTCAATCCAAGGAGGCAGGAATTTGATCTTGAATATGACAATGATGCTGAGCAATCATTGGCTGATATGGAATTCAAGGAAACGGACACCGAGACTGATCGAGAACTGAAACTACGTGTTTTACATATATATTTGTCAAGGTGGATCTTTATCTTAATCTCTGCTGCATTCCGATTTTCTTGTTGACTTGTCTACTCTCATTTTAGAAATCTGGTCTACAGTAACTACATATATTTATTTATTTCTTCTTCCATGCATATGCACTTAATGAATTTATTATTATTATTGTTATTATTATTATTATTATTATTACTATTATTATATATACTAGAATTTCATAGTTTCGATTGGATTGGTAGAATTTTATTTGTAAATATTTCATTTGGAGCTTTCATGTTAGGCTTGAAGAGAGGAGAAGGAGAAAGGACTTCATATTAGAGAGGAATCTACTTTATCCTCATCCATTAGAAAAGGAATTGGCAAACGAAGATAGAGAGGTGTATCATCGGTACAAGGTATTCATGCGATTTCTATCCCAAGAAGAGCACGACGCACTAGTGAGCAGTGTTATTGAAGAGCGTAGAATTAGAAGAAGAATTCAAGAGCTTCAGGTATGGTAATTTTTTTGTTTTAACTCAAATTTCTCCATCATTACTCCATACAATACTCTCCTTTCTCCTAGTTTTTTATGACAAACCTAGTATAATTTGGGTCATATCTGTAGTTTGTCTTGACTAATTTGTCTTCCTTTACTTCCATATGATCCATTTAAGCCCTATTTTCCAATTAATCTACAATTTCTATACTTTCAGGAGTGTCGAGCCGCCGGATGCCGTACGTTGGCAGAAGCAAAGATGTACGCAGAACAGAAGAGGAGAAAAGAACTGGAGGCCAACGTTCAGAAAACGAAGGAAACTAGCGCGCTAATCAACAATAATAAAGTTACACAGAAGATAAATAGACCCATCAGTAGAGATAAAATTGATTCTGATGGAAGCCCCCTCAGCATGGTTGATAATCACAAAATAAAAGGTCTAACATTAGATTCCAGTGGCAAAGATTCTCCTGTGACATCAGGGCAGGCTAATCTGAGATCTTTTGATGACTGGGATATCATTGGACTTCCTGGAGCAGACTTGTTAACTGAAAGTGTAAGTAGGAATCTAAGCTTATTTTACTCTGGTTTATTTTTGCAATTATATTTTTCCTACATTTGTTAGGCTATGTTATAAATTTATGATTGTTCTTGCTTTTTTGAGGGAGTATAGCTTGATATCCTAGTTAGTAATCATAACTATGGCAGATACCAAGGTTTTCAAACTAGATAAGCAGAGTACCTCATGTTGATTATTCTCATTTAAGTAATCAAAATACCTCTTTTCTGAAAGTTCATGCTGTAATTGAATTACTAGCTAGCTTAAGGCTTTGTTTGTAGGTTAATTATTCTGTGCGGATGCCCAACGTCGTCCGGAGACCGGCCAGAATGCGCCACGTCACCCTTGTGCTCGATACCGCGACTCAGTACTGCTTGGTACCGCTGACGTGGTGTATTCTGATTGATCTCCAGATGATGTTCTGCGTCTGGTCTCCACACAGAATAATTTCTCTTGTTTGTAGGTGTTATAATTTTTTTCTTTGAAAAAAAAAGAGTTTTTTTATAATGACTACATTGATATATATATGATTATGGAAATTTATTTTTAGCTTTAAAATTTTCTAAAAAATAGCAAGAAAATTATAGCCAAATAGGAATATGATTATTGTCCGAAAAATAAAACCGTAAGAAAACTGTTCCAAACGGACCCTATATTTTTATGCCAACATTTTTTTCCTCTATTTTATTCAATTTTCTAGTGAACCTAAATCAAAGTTTGTTTTAATGTTTTACAGGAACAATTACTGTGTTGCCAGAACAGATTATTTCCAAGCCATTATCTTAAAATGCAGGAAGTCTTGGTCCAAGAGATACTGAAGGGTGCGGTGGTGAAAGCAGTTGATGCCCACCAGCTTTTCAAGATTGATCCAAATAAAATAGACAAGATATATGACTTGGTAACAAAGAAGCTTGGCCAGAGTGAGGATTTATTTAATGCTTAAATAACCGTTAAGTTTTAACATTTACTTCACTATTTTACAGTAATATTTTCATTTGTTAATTGTAACGTTTGTTAAAAGCTTTGAATTTCCGATAATTATATTTTTGCCTATTAGGGCAGTGTTAGTTTAAGTGAGTGGCATCATGTAATATTGAGGAATAGTAGGGACATTTTATTTACATGAGAGTTGGTACAGAAATTAGCTTACTGAAAATGGGGTAGATTAGCTTACTTTTCTTTGAGAACCTTTCATGGGGTGTTTGAATTGGCCATAAAAAACTATAATTTTTTTAATTATATACATAATTGTTTTTTAAATTTTGTAATCTGTTTTAGGAGAGGATAGATTTTATTTTTAATATGCAGAACTTGCTGAATTTCCTTGAATAAATATATGAGTATGGTGTTTATGATGATCGGCAAAAGATTTGAATATTTTGATGATCTTATAAGTTGGGTTCAATAGTTAGATCAGGGTGAAATAGGGATTGAATGAGATGAAAATTATTTTTAAATAATTTTAAATGATAGAATAATCATGTAATAATATAATTTTTTTTATTAAAAAATAAATTAAATTTAAATATTAATATTATATTATGTAATTTTAAAATTTAAAATATTTAATCTTTAAATTTAAGTTAAATTTAGTTTGCATATAAATTTATGAATTTTCAGTAAAAATATAATATTAATTTTATGTTATATGGCTTTAAATATAATTATATTTATAAATTTACTTATTAATTCTTTTATAAATTATTAAGGGAATTTTAAAGTGGGGGGGTTTTATTTTCTTATTAAATTAATAATTTTTAAAATAGTACATAAATGATTAATGAAGTATACAATTTATTGATATAAAAATAAATATTATTTAATCATAAAAATTTATTTAAAAATCTATATTTATGTACTATCTTTTGAGTTATGGAATGGGGACTTATATGGAAGTTGATTAGGTATTTGTGAAATACTAGTTTGAATTTTTTCTATTTTAAATATTTATTGCATTTTAAATTTTATATTAAAATTTTAAATTATAAATATTACTAGTTTTATTGCACGTGCATTAAATGCACATGAATAAAAAAATTAAAATAAAAATTCATATAATGAATATTTTAATTATATTTTATTTAATAAAAAACAAACTATTATCCTTCTTTCTATAATTAATTATAATTATTAATAATATTAGCAGAAATTATAAATTTTCTTAAAATAATATTAGAAAAAAAAGTCCATGCACAAGAACAAGTTCAAACATTTTATTCACCGAATCTGCAACACCGAACAAAGGAAAAATAATCTAAATAATAAAAAACTGAGATTGATATCTGCTAAAAGCCCAAAAGCCCATCGAGTTTAAATAAAACAATGAGGATAGAAGTAACACTGAATGGCGGAATCATCGAACAATACATAGTTAAAGAGATCTCAAGAACCTCAAAGAAATGCCATAAATGCAATATAAGCATTATTAGTACAAAATGAAAATGTAGTGTGGTAAATGGAATAAAAAAGTTCCAAATCATGACTATGAATATCTCCATATCTCATCACTAATCTGAAGGAGTGTTTTAGGATGGCATTCTCTTTGTCGACTTATATTATAGGTGCTAAGATGCCCATGATAACTTCCAAATGAAGAGACCAACACACAGTTCAACATTTAACTTCCAAATGATAATTTCAGGGCTTGATGCAACAAGTACAGAGCACCTAGCCTACATGAAAAAGGAACATAAAAATAAACTCAGAAGTTAGCAACAAAAGTCGAAAGGAAAGATATTTAAGTTTATAGTATGGCAACTCCACAGGCTCAAGTGTAAAGAATTTAGAAAAAAATAAAAAATCAGAAAGAAAGCTAACAAGCATGCTTTAGAGAACGCATAACACTATAATTATTACCTTATGAAGAATCTAGATTCCTTATGGAAGCTGACATGTGGTGAAGAAAAGACTGAAGAAAAAAAAAAAAGAACTGGTTCATCAACTTTGAGTTAAAAAGAGATGGACAAAAAGTGGTTTTGATTTCCTCTACTATCATCATGCTTTAATTTATCATCAAAATGCTCTATTGGAACATGAATAATCATGTTCACTTTATATGATCAAGTTTTTTCATATATGTCATATGTTGTATAATATGGGAAGAAAAAATATTGCTATCAATATCAAATAAGAGCAGTCATAGAATTCAATTTTTTAAGGATTTTAAGCCCTAACAACATTCCTAAATGATTAAATTTTAGAAGCTAAATTTAGTTTGAACCTTTCAGTTGGAATACTTCAAAAGTAAATTTCAGTCACAAATAAAATAGTATTCAAAATTCATTACCTAACTTTGAAGCCGAAATAGTAGATATCCATTGAAGCCAAAAGAGTAGAGATCCAGAAACGAAATGCAAAAACAAGAAAGATCTAAAGAAAAAACATGTGAGAATAATTTTACTAATTATATATAATATAGAAAGAGAACACATGCGGCAGTTGTCTTACAATCAATTATGATTTACTGGGATTTAATTTGGCTGCACTATAGGAAACATTAGGTCAAGACAATGATAGTATAACTAAGAAGAAACAAAAAAAAAATGAAATTATGAGAGAGAAGGTAGACTATACTTCCTATTGCATAAATTAAAAATATCACCAAAAAAACACAAATAAAACTAAGATAACATAAATTCTATTTAAAAGTTCCTATAGAAGAGAATTGTAAGTGGTAATAAAATATATTTTCTTATAAACAAAAGGATTATATTTTATGCATGTTCAAGCAAACAATCTATTTGAGGATAAAAATTACAGCTTTCCAAATATTTTACAATCAAAAATAAACTTTGAACATCAACTTCTTCATTGTAAACTATGCCTGCACATATAATGTAATTGTTTAATTTATTTTGTGATTAAAGGTGTGTACTAATGTTTGAAAAGTATGCTTGAATGTGAATAAATTTATTATTTATCATGCATGTCAATATGAAATTGCTCTTGTTCATCAAAATTACACAAAATATACAAATTTGAGCATTTTGCAGTTTGTTACTATTATTTTTAATGATAGTAATGTGTCACAGTTTGCAAACTTCTGAAAACCTCTCATGTATTCTCAGAAAATTATCTTGATTAGGCACGAATCTCGAGGCAAAATCAGTTCGGAAACTTCAAAAATTAATTTCGAGAGCATCTGAACTCCAATTTCAGCGAGCTTACAGTCAAACTGAGCGTCTCGGAAATACGAACCCAACGACACCAAATTCGACTCAATCCGAGCCCAAATGAGTCTGAATCAAGGACCCGAAGCGCTGTTGGAAGGTTCAAACCGCAATTTGAGTTACCAAACGGTCTCCGATTTTAATGAGATTATACTCGAATCGAGCGGCTCGACGAGACAAATCCAACGAGCCCAAGATCGCCAAATTCCAACATCATTAAGACCTTCAAATGTCCAACTAACAATGCATGATCAAAGGATTCGATATCGACCGTCCATTCAAACCACTGCCAATGCGCCCCTGATCTCACGCCTATTTATGGGCTATGCCACTCCAGAAAAACTAGAAATAGAGCCCTCATTCTACACAAAGGGGACTCAAGTGAAGAGAGAGAAGAAGAAAGGAAGAAGAAGAGAAAGGGGAAAAGGAGAATCCTCTCTCCTCCTCGACCACCGCCGGAGTTCGTCCTGCCTCCCGAACACGCCGGGATTCTGCGTGATATTCGGGAGAACGCAGGAACTCTGCCCAACTTCCACGTGATGCTGAAATTCTTCCCAATTTATAACAGAGATCCCTCCTGACGCCGAAACTCCGCCCAAGTAAAGCCGGAGTTCTCCGCTACCAACAATAAGCCTTCTGACCTCTATCGCCCGCCAACTACAGTCCTCCTGACTTATGTCGTCCGTCGACTATAATCTTTCCGACATCTGTCTCCCATCGACTACGGTCTTCCTGACTTACGTCGTCCGCCGACTACAGTCCTTTCGACCTCCGTCGCCAGCCGACCACGGTCCTCCTGACTTATGTCGCCCGCCGACTATAATCTTTCCGACCTCTGTCGCCCATCGACTACGGTCTTCCTGACTTACGTCGTCCGCCGACTACAGTCCTTTCGACCTCCTTCGCCAGCCGACTACGGTCCTCCTGACTTACGTCGCCCACCGACTACAAGCCCGACCTCCGTCGCCCGCCGACTACGGTCCTCCAGACCAAATGAACATGTCAATAGTGATTCTTTGTATTCATATCATGTAATGTACTCTATAAAATGTACATTAAGGCCTTCTCCCAAGGAAGGGCCTCATTTGTAATCGACTGCAATACTAGTGGATTCATTCAAACTGGGCTAGGCCCCGTGATTTTTCCCCCTTTTCAGGGGTTTTTCAATTAAAAATCTTGGTGTCTCATAAATGCTAGACCCTCTCTCTTATCTGATTGCGTGCCAGATTTTCGTACAACGCTAAGACGATAAACTTTATATTTCTCAACCGCTGCGAATATTCCTAGACGCAACAACCTTCAATATTTCTTTGGGGTTTTACTAAAAAAGAACGTAAGTCGGATCATGCTATCAAATGACTCGTCAATTCTTATAAGAAAAATAATAAAGGAAATGCCCTTGTAAAATATGAATATTCCACTTACCAACCTCCTTTCTCTTCGTAGAACTTCATAATCGAAATATCCATGAACGTTAGGTAATATGCAATAAAAAATGTTTCAGATAATTAGTATAAATATGAACATTAATATATTATCCAAAATTTGTTTTGATCAAGCACGAATCTCGAGACAAAATCGAACCGGAAACTTCAAAAATTAAATTCGGGAGCATGTGAACTCCGATTTCAGCGAGCTTATAGTCAAACTGAGCGTCTCGGAAATACGAACCTAACGACACCAAATTCAACTCAATCCGAGCCCAAATGAGCCAAAATCAAGTACCTGAAGTGCTGTTGGAAAGCTCGTACCATAATTTGAGTTACCAAACGGTCTCCGATTTTAACGAGCTTATAGTCGAATCGAACGGCTCGACGAGACAAATCCAACAAGCCCAAGATCATCAAATTCCGACATCACTAAGGCTTTCAAATGTCTGACGAACAGTGCACGATCAAGGGATTCAATATCAGCCGTCCATTCGACCACTCCCTATTGGACCCTAATCTCACACCTATTTACGAGCTATGTCACTCCATAAAAACTATAAATAAACTCCTCATTTCTCATAAGAGGGACCCAAGCAAGAAGAAGCAAGAAGAGAAGAGAATAGCTCCTCCTTGACCACCACCAAAATTCTTCCCGTCGTTAGAACGACGCCAGAATCCCGCCGGACGTCCGAGTGACGCCAGAACTCTGCTCGACTTTGTAACTGAATTTCAATACAGAAGAAACTCATTGTAAAATGATCATCCTAACTTGTTGGACGAATCAGCCTCTTGTATCTCAAACTACAATAGTGGAACTTTTCAACTGGGCGTGGCCCCGTGGTTTTTCTCTTTTTTGGGTTTTCCATGTAAAAATCCTGGTGTTCTTTTATCTTCTGTTTGTGTATGCTAGATATTCGTACAACACTCAGACGAAAATTTTCTAACTCTACCGCCGCGTATATTCTAGTCCGCAACAAACATGTATGAAAATTTTTTGTGTATAAAAAATAAAGTGATTTTATAGTAAGCATTAATTGTAAGAAAAAAATCCCTCAACTTTTTTCATCCAGGCTTGAGATCGACATTGGTGGTTTTAAAAAATGTTTGTATAATATTACCTCTAGAAAATACGTTAGATTTATTGTGAGACATTGTGGTATAGAAATTGATCTTGGGAAGAAGGAAAATTTTAGAGCATTAGAAGAATCAACTTAGATAGAAGTTGAATCTCTTAATGTCATTCATGCCGTTTTTGTAATATGAAGATAAATAGTGGAATACAAAGGGTTGCAAAGTATAAAGTTTGATTTAGGCCATTTGTTTGGTTGGATTTTGTTGCTGGAAGAATCACCATCATATTTTTAATATTAATATAGATATAAGTAAACATAGAAAAGAGACTGAACATGTAACTACTCGAAAGAAATAAAGGTCAATAGAGTTAGTGTCATGTGAACAATAATGAATTTTTTTTATTTACAAACTAAGTAGGCTAATCACAACCATTATATTCAGTTAGAATGCGTCATCATAAATAATAACAAACATTTGAATTGTGGCACTGCATTGATTGCATGAGAATTTAAATTGTTATTGATATATTCCCTATGTTGGTGATGTAACTACAATTAGTAACTGTAAATACTAAAATTTTAAACATCCAAAGTCAGACATATAATAGATTGTTTGAAAACAAACATAACATGCAAATTATATTCAAACATAATGTTCAGTGTCATCAACACAATGATCAAATCTAAGGCATGGAAATTCTAAATTTCCTCTAATTTGATTATTTTAAGTTCTATGACAATAACTTCATCAGAATCTTCTTTTATAGATTAAACTATAATTGAATGAAATGTTTGATTTCCATATATTTTATCTTAAACCTTCACTGAGAATATCAACTCCTTATCAAAAATATTTGTGATTATGTTATTATAATTTTCTATGTTGGATGCCTACATTAAAAAGGAAAAAATATATAAGATTATGCATATATAAGTTACAATATAAATAGAATGACATAAAAAATAATTACTTTGATTTTCTCTAACTTTGTAACTGACA